TACAAGTGGCTTGTGCTGGAAAGGACCTTTAGCCTCACATGGTTCTAATCCCCTGCCATGGGCAGAGAAACCTTTCACTAGACCAGGTTGCTCCAAGCCCCATCCAACCTGGCCTTTAATAAATATTCCTGTTATTTCACATTAAAGACTTTAAGTGGTTTTAGACATGCTTCTAAAATTTCTGCATTTGGAGCCAAGTTCAGGCTGTAGATGTTACTTCTCCATGCAGATCCAAGATACCATTGCACACTCTACAAAGTGACCCTCATTCCTGCCTGGCAGACTGAACAAATGGCATTTATGGTGTGAAACAGTCCCCAGGTATTTTAAATCAAGCTGCATCAAAACAAAAGACAGACACTGAAGCGTTGTACAGAAATACACATAGGCTGTCTCTGCCTTCACAGCAAAGCATTTCTGGTTCAGCCAGGCTTTCACTGGTGCTGCCCAGCAGGGAATTCTGGAGCACTGCATGAATCCCCACATTTCCAGCTGCGTTCTGTAGTTCTGCTCCCCACAAGCACAAAGTGGTAACTGTATCACCCCTGAGCTCTCCACAAGAGGCTGACAGTTCTCAACTGCTTTGGCATAGAGAGACTTAAACATGTACAGTTAAAGGTTAAATTTGTGTTCCCCCAATGGATGAGAACACTTCTGTGTAACTCCAAGAAAGCTGCACTCACCTCACAGGGAGGGATGTCCTGGACTCCAGCAATGAGCTCTGCCAGTGACTCCCTCGGAGCGGGCCCCTCTGGGGCAGCCAGGAGCTGCAGGAGGAAAAATAATATAAGGCATGAGGAGGAACTGGCTCTGGTGTCATTGATTCTGCACAGGAGCTGTTTGTTATTCACATTTTGCAGCGAGGAGTTCTGAACCATCTTCGGCCACTTCATTCATGGCAGGATACAGCGTTTGCCTAGAGATGACCTCACACCCTTGATCTAGGTAACTGATCCCTAAAATGGTGGGTGTGAGCCCACCAGGGTACCGAGGAGTGAAAGAGATACAGTTTTTGGATAGGTTATAGCAGTTTTATTTTTAAGCTCTGGCAATGACCCCTTTGAGGAGCTGGTACGGGAGAGGTCAGACCACCGCCATTCAGATTAGGAGAGCGATGCCGGCTGCGGTGTCTCTGCGGCAGTCACGGGAGAATGAACCGGGCTCAGCTGCCAGGGCACCGACTTCTCCAGGGGCAGGGGCCCAGCCCGGGACCGGCCCCAGAAGCGGGCGGGAGCGGGCTGGGCAGGCACAGTGGCTAAGGGGCGCTTCCCGGGCTCCCTCCCCGCGGTCCCGGAGCGCGGTCCCGGCCCTACCTGAGCCGGGCCCCGCGGAGCCCCCGCGCCGCCGCCGCCGCCGCCCACATGGCCCCGCGCCGCGCCGCGGGCCCGCCGGCCGCGCTCCGACCCCGCGTCCTCCGTTCCGGCGCACCAACGTTCCGGAGGGCGCCCCCCGCGGCAGAGCCCGCTCCGCCCGGCAGGGGGCGCCCGGCCGCGCTGCAGGGCGGGCGGCGCCCGGCGGGGGAACGGCGGGGTCGGGGGCGCTGTTTCCCGCCGGGCCGGTTAGGCGGTTGCCAGGCGCCGAGTTCCGGCGGTGCCGGATCGCCGGCGGCGCCGGGCGGGGGATGCGGCGGGGCGGCGGCACCGGGACATGGAGCGGCGCTGAGGCGGCTCGGGCCGGCCGGGGGCGCGGGCACTGCGGCGCCGGGCGCGGGCCCATGGTGGCCGGCCGCCGCTGAGCGCCGCGGCCGCGGAGGCAGCCCGGGCGGAGCCGCCCTGGGGTCCCGAGGGCGGAGGCCGGCGGGGGCCCCGGGCGGGGAACAATGAAGCTGCTGAAGCCGACCTGGGTCAACCACAATGGTGAGGCCGGCCGGGCTGCGGGTGCCGCGGGCCGGGCGGGCGGCAGGTGCCGCGGGCCGGGCGGGCAGGTGCGGCGGGGAGCGGCGGGCGGCACACGCGGGGGGCGCGGGGCGGGCGGAGCCTCGCGGCGCCGCCGGGCGCTCCCCGGGCGGCCGCGGGGCCGGAGCCCCGGGAACGGCGGCGGCGGCCGGCGGCAGCGGCAGCAACAAGTCCGCGCCGTCCCGGCGCGGGAGCGGAGCCGGGCGGGTTCCCGAGGCGGCGCGGGGACAGCTCGGTCCCGGGCCGGGGCCGGCGGGGACCCTGCCGCGGCTGCCCCGGCCCGGCCGGCTCGGCCCGTTCGCTGGGGACAGCCGGGCTCTGCAGGGAGGGCTGCGGGCTCCGGGGCAGCGCTGGGCTGATTCCGCCGGCCCGGGGCCGCTTCGCGCTGCTGGGAGTGCGGAGCGATGCTTTGAGTGGGGCAGAGCCGTGCAGAAGACAGAAGGAGTTTCGTGCGCAGGTCGAGGTCCTCTCGGGGTGAGTGGCCAGCATCAGGCGGTATCTAGTGCACGGCGCTGGCCACCCGGCTCCCACACTGCTGACACAAGTTCAGTATTAAATGTCTTCAAATGCACTGAGCTGTGCTGTCGTTCTCCACGGAGGAAAAAGTTTCTTCCAGCAGTTCTTTCAAAGCAACTCCCTGAATTTATATAGTGTCCTGCCTGCCGGTCCTCTGGTGATGTTGAAGAGATGTGTGAGCTGAAACAGCTTAGAGTGAGGTGTCGGTATTGACAGAAGGCTCTGTACTTTCCTTGTGTGTCAAATACAGGACAGCACCAGAGTTTATGTCATATCTACACTGCTTAGGATGAATTTCCAGATTAACACCTGTACTGTTCCTGGTGAAGCAGTGAGAAGAAATCTATCACAAAGAGCTCACTTCTGTTTATGCAAGTTTTACCCTCAGATTCATGGGTACAGCTTTTTTTCAGCTGCAAATTTTATACTCTGTCAATGTATAAATGTCATTACTTGGGCTCATGTAGCTGATTGGTATCTACGGTAAAACTAAGACCAGGTTATTCAAGCTAGAAAAGTATGCTTTGAGTTTAAAACTCCAGGTAGAACTTTACAATTGCCTTTCTGCATGTGTTGTTCTTTGTGCTCATGCTGCAAATGTTAATAACAGTTTAAGCCTTGAGTTGCCATTCGTGTTGCATCTTTACTTGGCCTGCTCTCCAGGGACTCTATAGGCAGCAGATGGACTCAACCTTGTACCAAAGGTTGTAGTGAACTGAAAAAAATGTGGAAGTGCTTGATTTGAGATGTTTTTTTACATTTCTGCTTGGTTACTCTAAACAAATGTAGCATTTACATCTTCATCTCTGGCTGCCTGTGGTTAGACTGTCCTGTGCCTCTGCGTTTCTTCAGTAGGAGCACAGGAGCAGCTGAATAAAACCTTTCAGCCTAAATCCTTGGAGATCACAGAGATGTAACTTCTTTCCTTATTTTTTTAATGGGTGCATCTTTTTATATGGGTATGTATTTGAAATCTGTAGCAATTTAGAAAACATCCAACCATTGCAGAGCACAGGCTTCAGCCAAGCAGGGCTTCCTGTGATGATGGATAGTGCACTACACAGGGCCTCGATGGTCCTGGGTTTCACTCCCATTTCTGCCACTGACCTTTTGGCATGAGTTTAGCCAAGGCAGTTCATCATAAAAAAAACAGACACTGGCCACAGCTCCATTTGTGAGGTGCTCTCAGGGCTGCAGGAGAGTGCAGGACTGTGAGACAGTCACACATTGCTGTCCTTGGGGTAGGGAGTGCAGGATAAAAACCGGTGAGTTTAGTCAGCCTCTTCTAACATGCCTGGGTTCCAGATCCTCCAGGCTGTATGTCAGGAGTCCATCACTCCTCATGGGCCTTCCTCTTGGCTCTGAAAACTCTCCAGAAACAGGGTGAAGAGAATTTACACTCGGTGTGCTGCAGACTCTGTGATAATTCTTATTCCTTTGATTTCTGCACAGGCACATGGGGCTGCCTCCCTGTTCTTGTTTGTATCAGGGGTGGCTCTTCCACACAGCAGATCCAGCTGGTCATTTCAGCCTTTTCCTCTTCCCACTCCATTTTGGGAGTTTTGTTTTACTGAATGGATTAGAATGATGCTTCCAGGCATACATTCTCCAGAGATAACAGACACTAGAAGTGAGTGTTATAGCCAGGAAATCCAGCACACCTGGGAATTGTGTGCTGCACAGCTGAGATGCTGCGTGCTTATGGTAAAAGCACTTCAGCACATTTTGGCTCTACAGGTTTTTGCCTTGGAGTTGTTAATGTCACTTTTTCTGAGTGCTTATTGGAATTATTTCTTGCTCAGATACATTTTCTATGAGCTTTTCATGTACTTAATGTGGGTTTATTAGATTTTGCATTAAATTCTCATTGTGTTCTTCTCTTCCATGTGTCTTTGACTTAGAGCAAGGAAGAATATTCAAAAGTGCAGTCTAGTGGAAGGGGTGAGAACAGATGACTGTAAGATACAAGTGGTGGGATTGGCTTCTCTGTCCCAGTGTTGCATTCAGTCCCTCTGTACAGATGCATCATGCATCCAGCAGCTGCCTGTACATACTCAGCACTCAGGGTTTTGAGAGCCCAGGTGCTTCAAGACAACTCAGGCAGGCAAACACTGATTCCTGTGGGAAAGGAAGTCCCTTGCTGTTCCAAGAAACCCTTGCAAGCCCCAAGGTGCTGCTCATGTATAACAACTTGTGGAAACTGGAGCCTGCTTTTGTTTAAATATAGGCATGGAGTTTATCTCTCCAAGCTGTAATGGTGGAATGTAAATATTTGAATTGATTTGTGAGTCACATTGAATGTTATATATGAGATGGGCTGGAAGCAGATTGAATAGAAATCCATTCATTTTGAGGCAGAAATTCAGCTAAAATTGTTCTTATGTTTAATTGATTATTGTATAAAGTTAAACAACAAACAAAAATGATGCAATATTTAAAATTGCTTTTATGCTTCACGGGAGTATTTTTTTTTTAGGATGGGACCTTCTCCTTGGGTTTCAGTTATCTTACTTAGATCGTTTTGTTCCAAGCTTGTTTCATTATCAGTATTTCTTTAAGTACATAATGTATATTTGGGTCCTTTAAACAAATAAGCCCACAGGACATCTGGTATATCATAAGGTGTTCTGTTTTTAATGAACCTGGTTTGCCTCCTCCTGCAATGTGATTCTGGGAGCTTCAATAATTTAAGCTTATCTTTTTTTAGAAATTATTGCAAGAGGTCAGAATGTCTTAAAGATAATCTGTGTTAGATTTTAGTGTTGCTGCTTAAATATCACATTTTGTTTTGGTGCGTCCTTACTGTTGGGAAACTCAGCACATCTCCAATTAGGAGCATGAGAAAGCTTCGGTCACTTTGAAGCAGAGACCTTGTATCTTTTGGTTTGTTTCAGCAGGAACTAACAACATAATCTGATAAAGACATGGACCTGGGGAAGAAGGTGATTGCTATCAAATAATGGCTTCTTCTTCATTATTTTGAGAAATTGAAGGAAGTGAAGAAAAACCCAGTATCTGTGCTCAATTTGTAAACCACAAGTAGCATGGAACGAGTCTTATAGCTTTAACCTGTTGCAGTTATCCAGCCCTGTAGATGGCATTGTCTTGATAGTGGTACCCTGGAGGAAAGGCCTGGCAATGTGACCACTTCATCTGTTCTTAGTTTTATTTTATTTTATTTTATTTTAATTTAATTTAATTTAATTTTATTTTATTTTATTTTATTTGTAATTGGACATTGGGTACTGAGCAGATCATTGTGTATCTTTAGTTACCTGTGGTATAAGATCACTTCCTGGATCACAGTTGAGCTATGTAGGAAACTTTGTTGTCCAGGGCTTCATTTATTACTGCTGCCTTTCCTGGGTGCAAAGTCCATACCCTCTTTAAACTTCACATATAAAATAATGCCCTGTGACCTGACAACTTTCACTGAGGTGTGTATTTTTAGGATTATAACCATTTATGAAAATTTACTCAGTGCTTATTTGGTTGAACCCCAAATTTATGCTAGGAAAAACATAAAAATAAAATGTTATCCTGCTATGTAAATATATGGATAATTTGTGTTTGAACACATGGTCATCAATGCCAATTCCATTCATGTCATAAAATAGAGGAGAACTGAAGTGGCTTGGAGTGACCAAAATGAGCAGAAGTGTGATGTCCTTTGTACAAGGAACAGTTGAGTAGAGTAGGACTCTTTGGGCAAGCAGTGGGGTCATTGGGCTGGGAACATCATGAACACAGTTAGGAGTGGCAGAAAAGGTATCAGTGTTGAGTGATTTCCATTCACTGCCCTTCTCTAGAAGAATTAATTGTGTTAAAGTAGCAAATAGCTGGTACAGATCCATGGAGTAGGAGGTTCCTCACAGAGCCATGGCTGAGCAGTGGATCTCTTTGTGTAGGGGTTGTTGAATTGTAGATCTGAGAAATGGCTGATTGAATTTATGGAAGAA